TGTCCCTGAGGGTCCTTGTTGGGTGGCATGTGGAATGCCTTCACACTCAGGATCTCAGCTAAGCCTCACCCTGTCAGGTGGGGCAAGTATTTCTGTCCCCATTTCACAGATGAAGAAACCAGTGCTCAGAGTGGCCTAGGGCCTTGCCCAACGTTGCACAATGAAGTGAAAGAGCTGGGATTAGAACCCCAGCCTCTTGACTCCGGGGAGCGGTTCTCTGGGTTTTCCCAGAACATTCTGATAGACTCTTAAGTGGACAAAGGAGAAGAGATGGAGAAGACACCAACAGCCAGCTGCCAATGGGTCTCTCTGGGCCTTGCACGAGAATGGCCAGAGCAAAGCCACACCCCAGCAGACAGGCAGGACAATGAACAGAGTCAAGACTTGGAGCAAAACAAGCAACTGGTCCCACAAAGGGGGTAGGATGTCAGAATTGTCTGCAAACCCATGAGGTGCTGCCCACTAATTCTGCAGGACTGTTTTTTGTTTTTGTTTTTGTTTCTTGTTTTTTTTTTTTTTTTTTTTTTTTTTTTTTTTTTTTTTTTTTTTTTGTTTGAAAAGACGGGATTTGTCTGTGTAACAGCTCTGGCTGTCCTGGCACTCACTTTGTGACTAGGCTGACCTCAAACTCACAGAGACCCCCTGCCTCTGCCTCCTGAGTGCTGGGATTAAAGGTGTGCACCACCACTGCCTGGCCTGTGTGACTGTTTGATTTTGTTTTGTTTTCTGTGTGTTGGGGATGGAATCCAGGGCTATCTATGTACTAGACAAACACTCTAGCATTGAACTATTCTCCAACACCCAGTACTCTGTGATTTCTAAAAATTCTAATTTTTTTACACTTATTTATTTGTATGTGTCTATGTGCTCACACACCTACCCTGCCCCCGTTCCACCACTGGGGAGGACATCAGAGGACAACTTTTGGAAGTTGGCTCTCTCCTTCTGCTATATGGGTCCTAGGGATGAAACTCAGGTTGTCAGGCTTGGTGACCAGCACCTTTACTGCTGAGTTCTCTGACGGGCCCTCTCTGATTTTAAGGCCAGAATGCAAGACGGCAAATAGAAGCCACAGTAATGTAGATCCAGGTCCCATATAAGGCAATTTTTAATAATGTGCTTTCTGAACAGCCCAAGTCCTTCCCTGTCCTGGGTGCATCTTGTATCCTCTGCCACAGTGAGAAGCTGAGCTTTAGACTGGCTTCTTTCAGCATGGACATAGAGTCTGTCTTGTTAAGTATCCGCAAGGCCCTGTGAGTAGAGGGGTTCCCACGGAGGCTGTGAGATGTAGTTGAAGGATGGGGCTTTAAAGCAGGAGCAAGAGATTCGAACCCCAACTCTCTAGTTTGTTGGCCAAGTGCCCCTGGACAGGTGGCTTAGGATTTCCGATTTTCACTTTTCTTGTCTGTAGGATGGAGTTAATAACAGCCATGCCATGCATGAGGTTATTAGAAGATAAAATGAAATACTGTGGGCCCAGCAGAGCACCAACCCATGGAAAGCCAGTAACATAGTTTTGGTGATGATGTGTGTGATTGGGGGCTGCATCATAGGCTAGAAGAATGTGCAGTGTGGCCACTAATGTTGTGTGATTCTGTGCCTTAAGTATCAGGAAAATAGCTAAGTAGAATCAGGAAGCAGATTGACTCAACAGAAGAAAACGAGTGAAAACCAAACAGAACCCTCACTGAGGTCTCAGGAAATTTCCTTGCCTTTACTCCATCCCCTCCTGGGCAGTCACCCCACTCCCAGGCCTGGGATTGAGACACGGTCTGTTCTGGGTCCTGGAGGACCTTGGCATCCTTACCCCTGTAAAGGTGGCAGGAATCCCCAGATAGTCCAGCCCACCCTGGAAACCCAGCCTCTGCAGAGCGTGGGGCTGGAAAGTTCTGACTCGGTCACCACCTGCTTCAACCACAAACTCTGAGCTGGCCCAAGCCTCCAAACCAGCAAGATGACGTGGCTTAGCCTGGAAGGTGGTGGTGGTGGCCTCTGAGTGCCAGGCGCCCAGCAGGGCAGGGAGGGGCCCTTGGCAGCCTGTGGACAAGCCCTCAGCCTCCACCCTGTGGGGCTGCTCAACTACCATGGTCCGTGTGTGTGTGTGTGTGTGTGTGTGTGTGTGTGTGTGTGTGTGTGTGTGCATGTGCACTTGTGCACCCCAGAGGTCAACATCAGGTGTCTTTCTAATCGCTGTCCACTGAACCTGGAGCTCACCAGTTCAGCTCAACCGCTGGCCAGGGAGCCACAGGATACTCTGTATCCTCCTGTCCGGTGCTGGAATCACAGGCATGTGTACTGTGTCCAGAGTTTATGTGGATTCAAAGCCAGGTCCTCATGCTTGCATAGTTATGTCCCTAGTCCCTCAACTGCCATGGGCCTTAGAGCTAGAAGACATCTGAGGTCCCCAGAACCAGTGGGTTTTGAATTCTGGAAGCAGGAGAGAAGGGGTGGGATTGGAAAGTTGGCATATTAATAAACAACTTGATGGGAAAACTTTTCAGCACAGTGCCCCTCAGGAGACACATGAAGAAGCTGAGTCCAGGAGGGGACAAGACTGGCCTAAGGTGTCATACGAAATTGGATGAAAACTCAGCTGTTTAGGCTCTAGTACAGTGTGTCTTCCCCCGCCCCCCCAGACAAGGTTTCTCTGTGTTATAGCCTTGGCTGTTCTAGAACTCACTTTGTAGACCAAGCTGGCCTCGAACTCACAGAGATCCGCCTGCCTGCCTCCCCAGTGCAGGCATGCACCACCACCACCTGACTTTTTGTTTTGTTTGTTTGCTTTTGATTGCACACACACACACACACACACACACACACACACACACACACACCGCCACCCCACAAGATCTTACTTAGTAGCTTTGGCTGTCCTTGAGCTTACTATGTAGACCAGGCTGGCCTTGAACTCACAGAGATCTGCCTGCCTCTGACTCCCAAGTGTTGGTATTAAAGGTGTGCGCCATTACACCTGGCCTAAACCAACTATCTTTCAAAGCTCATTCCCCCCAAAAAGAAAAGGCCAAGTTCACAGGGAGTCTTTTCTGGGTCTGTCCCCTATGCCTCTATTGTAAGGAGTGTCAATCATGTGAGAATCAGTCAGCACCCCCAATTTAGCACCCAGCCCTGCAGATCCTGATAAACCAAAGGAGGCTTTTTTTTTAATTTTCAAAATTTTTAAAGTTTTTATATGAATTGGTGTCTTGTTTATGTGCCTGTGCACTGCTTGGCGCCTGCAGGGGTCAGAGGGTACAAGATCCCCTGAAACTAACTGGAGTTACAGCTAGTTGGGAGCCTTCATGTAGGTTCTGGGAATCAAACATGGGTCCTCTGGAAGAGCAGCCCATGTTTTTAACTGCTGAACCATCTCTCCAGCCTCCAATAGGAGTTAAAGTGTGGGATGTGGGCAGGTTCTTAGGGCTGAAGCCTGGAACAAGTAGGTGTTTAGAACAAATTCTCTTGTGTAAAAGTAGATGCTCCCCCCACAACGGGAAATAGGGGTCTTATTTAGAACGCTTCGTTCACTGGCTCAGTATGAATGACATTGTACTGAAGGCATTGTTGGTGGTACTCAGGCCTCCCTAAGGCAAGGTATGGGGTCTCACCAAAAAGCCTGGCCAACACCATACAGTGAGTGCTTACAGAGGAGGATGCCAGGGAGGGGCCACCAAGAGGAGGGAGGGGTGGGGCACTGTGTGAATCACACTCTCGGGCTCCCACCCCAGGGCCCAACTGCCATCAGAACTGAGTGCCAGAGGTTTCATGGACCCATGTGTCTGTGTGATGGTGTATGTGATGGTGTGGGTGATCCTTATGCGGCCGAGGCCATCTGATTAGTGTGTAACTGGACGTGGTGGGTGTGTAACAGAATGTGTGTGTGTGTGTGTGACTCCCTGTGACTTGGGTGTGGCGCTGCACCTCGTGTGGGAGCTATGCAGTGTGGCTGCATGAGACCTTGTGCTGTGTTGGTGCAACCACATGCATAGAAACGAGCGTTGCCCTGTGCTTTGTGCGTGAGTCCCAGAAACAGGTTCTGAGAGCCAACGGGCGCTGGGCAGATGGAGGCAGAGGTGGTTGTCTACATAGCTGTGGTTTGTTGCTCGTGATCTGCATGTGACTGCATGGAGATGGCTGTCATGGATACATGCGGCCATGTGGGACCCTGAGATGTCTGCACGTGTGTCTGAGAGTCTGAATGAGCTTGCTTCAGTGGGACCATTCAGAAGCCACTGCCTGGTGGGTGCCTCTGGGTGTCATGGCCTCAAGTCAACCATGTGTGTCACTGTGTGCTCCTTTGAGGGACTCGGTTGGTCACCGTGTGACTGTGACTGTATGGGACACCTTCCTCGGGTGGCTTTGATGTGGTTGAGTTTCTAGGGGCTGTAAGGACGCTGCCTCACTCCTGAGGACTTCAAACGATGCTGATGCCTTCTGCACAGCATGGGAAATCCCTGTCCCCTCCCCTCCCCCTCCCCCTACCCCTTCCTTCGGGAGAGCGCCTGCTTGTTTTCTGTTTTTACTGCCTAGGGTGAGTTCACGGCCGCAGCTGACTCATCACTCTTTCTCAGAGACTTGGGGAAGGATATAGGGATGGCTTGGTTGGGGCTTTGCTTAAAAGCATTATCAGTGACAACGTGAGTCTTGTGAGCACCCAGGCACATCTGCAAGCCGCGAAGGTCCAGATGTCTTCTTGGGTGTCACTGTCGAGTTCCTACCTCCTACCCCAACTTAGAAGCCTCTCTCCTCGTCTGAAAGTTCTCCCTCCGGGTCTTCACAGGTCACTGGAGGGTGCTGGAGCAGTTGGGTGCCACATACTGGTTCCCAGACCCATCTCTCTTAGGGTGATTCATAGTGCCCTGAGCCAGCAGGAGCTTCAACAGTACTGTGTGGGCGCCCCCTATGGGTAGAGCCTGCCCTAGTGGGAGCTGGGAGACCTATTCAAGAGGCTGCCACACTTGATGGGGAAGAGAACATGGTCCTTGACCCCAAGCATCCTTTAGTCATACAGGGGACGTGGAACTTCTCCTCTCAGAACCCAGAACAAAGAGTCATACAGGTTTGTTGCCGTTGTTGTTGTTGTTGTTTTTTAGGGGGGAGGGGTGTCCTAGAGGCTTCTGGGAAGAGCTCAGGGCCCTTTGGAACCCACTAGCGGGGAGAAGAATCCTGGAGGGTGACTGACCGGGACCTAGGAGGGAGGGAACAAATTGTTGGAAGGTCTGAAGGACTGGAGAAGTGGAGGGACCGAGGAATTCCAGTTCTAGCTGAGAGGACACAGGAGGGCTTGGACTGAGCCCAGTCCCCACGGTGGAGGGGGGTCTAAGCAGTCAGTGGACGGGAGGTACCCCTGGCGTCTACGACCCGATGTCCCTCCTGCTGCAGCCAGGATACAGCTACCTACGTCTCGTCGCCAAGGTTGAATGTGGAGGCTGGAGCCCCCTTTCCCCTTTGGCCTTCACCTGGGTAACCTGTCCAACTGTGCTTTGAACAGCCGGCAGGCCCTGCTCGCCCCTAAACTCCCCGAAGGTGTCTCTGCCAGGCCCTTGCCCTGCCGGGGCCGAAGACATGAAAACTTCCACCTCCGCCATCCTGGCTTGCTGCCCCTTGCAGCTCCTGGGATGGGCTAGCTCAACAGATCAAACCCTCCACCCACCTGGCTCCAGCCCCAGACTCCCCCGCCCCCCCATTCCAACTTAGGGGTGTTGGGGGAATAGAAACGTCAAGAGGTTGGGCTTTGGGCAGCCCCTGGCTATGGTCCAACCTCAGTTTCCCAGCGGGTGAAATGGAGATCTGGTGTGTGGCCCTCTGGGTTCCCGGGGCGGATAGGGAGGCTCCAGTGAGCTCATGGGCGTGAAGGCCCTGGTGAGCCGTAAATAGTCCAGTGCCCGTGGGAGGGAAGGGGCCATGTTATTCCAGCTGAGTTCAGCTGCCCACAGGGAGGCTAGCCAGTGAGGCTGGGGAACGGGAAGGGTCTCTGAGTCAGGGGCCAAGAATGGCAGAATCCAGGCTGGCACCTCACTGAGTGCTGCTAGGCGGAGGTCAGACCCTGCGTGTCCAGGACGAACAGTTGTGACAGTTGCAGGATCTGTGGCATGGAGATTTTGGGCAAGTCACCTGGATATGTGACTGATAAAGCTCCTTTACAGAGAGGAGGTGTGCCCAGCACCCCGAGATCACCAGTGCCACCTCTCAGCCTCTGAGGTCTCTGCCATACATGCCTGTCATCCCAGCACTCAGAAAACCGAGGCAGGAGGACTGAAAGTTCCAGGCCAGCCTGGGCTGCTATAGAATGAGTTCAAGGCCAGCTTGCCTACATAATGAGACCCTGTCTCCAAAACAGTAATTAACTAATTAAAAAATTAAATAAAGAGCAAAGAAAATTCTGGAGCTACAACCAATTCTCTCAGAAGGTCCTTGCTACTTCTCTCTAGGCTGTTTAAAAAAAAAAAAAAAAAGATTCTGGAACCTTCTCCTTCTTCAAATAGGCAAACCAGTACATTCCCCGACATGCTCCTCACTGCCCCATCAGTCAGTTCACTGTTACCCAACATCACCACCCCGGCCTTCCTCCTTGGAGCCGGTGAGCAGGCTGCACCCCTGGAATGCCTTCCCCCAAACCTTGCCCTGCCAGCTTCTAGCCACGTGACCTCGGGCAAGTCACAGCACCTCTTTGAGCCCCCATCTTCCCATCTGTAAAATGGGATTGCTACTACCCCGCAGGGTGGTGGGGACCGAGGAGCGGCTTTGGAGTACCAAGTCCAGTTCCTGGTGCCGGGAGGCCCAGTTCCTCGCCCCTGCAGGAGCCTTTCCCACAGCTGCTCCCCTGCCGTAGAAAGGGCTCCAGAGTGTAGCGGGTTTGTTATTGACTGAGTCCGTATGCGTTTTAATGCTGCAGCAGCAGATTCTAGGGAAGCCCAGGAGCAGTTCTGTGCCTACCTGGTGACATGCGTAGACATGGAAATAGCCAGCCACTCTGATAGCACAGCTCCTGTGTCTGACTGGGGCAGAAAGAACAGTCCGAACAGAAGCGAGCCCAGGAAGGCTTCCTGGAGAAGGATCTTGGCAAGACCAGTAAAGTAACAGGGGGTACAAGAAGGGCAGCTTGGCCAAGAGCATGGCAGAGGGACAAGCAGGGTATGTTCAGTGGGGACACCCTAGAGAAAGCACGAATTGGAGAGTGGAATGGAGAGATCAGGGTGTGCACTGGGAAGCCCTGAGAGCCAGGCAGAGGAGCGTCCATCAGGGTAGCAAAGAGGAACCACACAGCATACTCTTGAGTAGGGGAGTAACGCTGAACAAGGCTGCCATTTATTAAATGGCACGCGCTTTCCAGAATTTTGCTAAGTGCTTCTTGTGTTTTCCCAGTTGGTCTTCAAGCAACCTGCCGAAATAAACGCCGTGATTTCCATTTTCTAGAGGGAGAAAGGGAAGAAGTGGAGTTCTGTGAGGTCTCAGGAAAGGCCAGGCAGGAGCAAGGTGGGTGGAGCTGCCTCCTGCCCATGCCCTTGCCAGTGCAACCTGGAGCCCCTGGGGAGGATGTGGGGAAGAACATGGGCCCTTCTTCCCCACCTGTGGGATTTGCTCTGGGTGCCTGAGGGGGTGTCCTGGCCTGAAGAGATGAAGAGCCCCAAACCTGTTCTCCAGCTGTTGATGAGATGGAGGACTTTGTGAGTGAGAGGGATAGTCCTGCCTCCCCCAGGGAGGAACAGGGAAGCTACGGTGGACCGTAGGCAGAGCTCAGTGGAGATGCCTGGCCCCAAGACTTAAGGAGCACACTTTCCTGTCCCATCTGGACTGTGGGCATTCAGAGAATGGTAGATGGGGGGTGTCTGTGACAGGGGATCCTGCCTTATCTGCCTATCATACCCAGACCTGTGTTCTGAGGTGGTGGTAGGGCATGCCAGTTCATGCCCCATCCCTGTCCCCCTCCCCAAGAGACCGGCACTGCTCCCTGAATTCCAGTCAAGCGTCTCTGGGGGGTTTTCTCCATACCAATTCTGCCAGTCTGAGGGTTATGTGTGTGTCTTCCTCCCCAGGATGCACCTTCACTTAGCAGATGTCCCTGGAGCGCTGGTTAGGCCAGCCCCACGCTAGGCACCAAGGACCCAGGATCTCACTAAGCAGAAGAGGGGCCAGTTAATAACCAAGGAGCCAGAACCTCATTGCAAGTATGAGAAGAGCTGGAGAGAGAAGGAGGACAGAGATGAGAACCCTGGAGACCCGGGGACACCACCTCAGGTCCTGGGAGATCACCTAAGTTCTGAGTGGCACAAATAAGGGGAAATGTTGGGAAGAGTACTCTGCTTGGAAGGAATGGCTGGTGCAAAGGTCTGGAGGCAAAGACTGGCCTGGGGTACGTGAGGATCTCCAGGAAGGTGACTTAGGGTCGGCGGGATGGGCCAGTGGGTAGAGGCACTTGACGCAAGCCTGATGGCCTGAGTTTGATCCTCGAGGTCCCCACGGCGGAAGGAGAAGACAGACTCCTGCCCGGTGTCCTTTGACGCCCGTGTGCACCTCGTGGCACATGTGTGCTCTGGTCCTCCTCCAATAACTAAGTCAAGAAATTCAATAACGAAATGGAAGAGAAAGACGGCGCAGCCTGGAGTGGCATGAGTGAGGAGACGAGGGAGCCGCAGAGGCAGGCAGGGCCCAGAAAGCGAAGGGCACATGGCTTCTGGGTGATGCGGGAGGCTGGCTCCCAGACTCGGGGAGGGGGGTTAGCAAGGAGGAACCCTCTGAGGCACACTGCGTTGAGAGCCCTTTAGCTAAGTAAGGCATGAGTGGTTATGTCAGCTGAGGTCACCTCTCTCTTTTTCCTACCAGGAGCTCAATGGCCTCCATAGTCAGAATCCTCCAGACATCTAGACCCAGGCTCTAGAACATTCTAAAGGAGTTGTTGGCTTCACTTATATCTAAAGAGGAAGATTCTGGGGTGACTTCAGGAATAATCGTCACGGAGAACTGCCTCCTTTACCTTATGGGGATCCCCCTGCCCTAGCCTGCTGTAGGGTGCCTGCTGTATCTGGGACTCTGTGGGAGGGTGGCTGTCCAGAGCCAGACCTACCCCAGGCTGAAATCTTCTAGTTGGAGAGAGAAAGGTCCAAGGAGGTAGATCAAGTGGCCGGCAGGTGACCTTTGCCCCCTGGTTTCCCCACATCCTGTCGAAACCCCTAGTGGGCAAGCAAGGCTGGAGATGGCCTCTGTCAGGGTGGAGTTCTTGAAAACTAGTGGCCTCCTGGGGCTGACTTTGGGCATGGCCGCCCAGCAGCAGGCCCAGGGAATGGACTGAGTCAGATCCGGACAGGAACACGGGCAGGCCTGCTGAGGTCACGGTCGGGTGGCTGGAGGTGGCCTTCTGACTCCAGTCCTCCACCCCAGCTGCTGTTTGTGTCCAGTGCACCCTCCAGCGTGTGCCAGGCACCCTGTGGCGTCCCGGAGGCACTCCTGGGCCATCAGCTGTCCAGAGGCAAGGCTGGCGGTGGGGCTGCTGTCACCACTCCGGCTTCCTGGGCCCAAGTCTGAGGGACGATGCCACTTTGCTCCCTGGGAAGAAGCAGTACTCTGTCCCCCCAAGAGTCCCAGTCCAAGCGCAGAGGCGTGACTCTACTCTCACAGAACCCCAGTCTGAGGGAAAACGAAGACATATTTGAAGAACACAAAGATACTTTTTAAAGGGCCAGCTATGGGTTGGAGGAATGTGTCTAGGTGATAGATTGCATGCTTGGCATGCACAAGGTCCTAGGTTCAATCCCCTGTACTGTGAATAAAAGGGGGGGGCAGGGAACCCTTCAAGGGGACCCAAACTGGTAGGGAGTCAGGCACGGCCATGCACACCAGTAGGGAGTGCCAGAAGTTCTTACAGTTCGAGACTAGCCTGAGCTACAGAGTGAGAGGCCATCTCATGCTACCATCTCGGGGCTGGAGTGGAGAGTGAGGAGGGTGGAGGAGGGATGGGAGGAATAGGGAATGGAACACTGGGTCCTTCTCCTTGTCTGTTCCCTCCTTGGTTCAGCTGTGGGGAAGGGGCAATGCAAAGCAGAGTGAGCTCTGAGAATCATCTTTAGCTTCCCCTGGCCTCCCCCAGAGGAGCACAGCACCCTAGAGACCCGGGGTACGGAACCCATGTGGGTGGATGGGCCAGCTCAGCTCCTGTCCCTCCATCTGGAGCTAGCCTGAGTCCTTGTGTCCACAATGCACCACATCAGGGAGTAATCACCAGGATCAGCATGCTGGAAGGAGATTTGGGGCTCCCACGGGCTCCCCATGTCCCCACCCCCACCCCCAGGTCCCTGGCCCAGGCCATGTATGCAGCCAGAGCCCTCCTCCGCGGTGGTTGGAGGTTGTAGACTGTTGGAGCTTGTTGGGCCCCAGGCATCTCAGCGCTCACCTCCTCCCTTGCCCTTTCTACTGGGGAACAACAGCGGGGGCCTGGGCCAGAGGAAAGCCAGGGGCTTGAGCTGGTGCAAGGGTGCATCCCTGAGTGAGGCAGGGGTACCTAGTGCCTGTGGACAGAGTCAGGGAGATGGCCTGTCCACGGTGGGTATTAGCAGACCTCAGCATGGAGGACAGGGCCGAGTGTAGACTCAGAAGCCTAGCAAGGCGGCTCTAGAAAACCCATGAAAATTGGAGAGTGCTGGCAAGAGGTGAGCACTGTATGAAGAGACAGTGATTTTTTATTTAAACAGCTCCATCCATCTCAGGCTAACACTGGCTGCCTTAGTAGGGAGTGAGTTGCCCATTCAAAGAGGCATTCAAGCAAAGGTTAACTCTCCTCTCTGACTATTCATTAAGTACCTTCAGTAGGTGGTCTAATCCGGGGAGCCGGATGGTTTAAAGTCCCTATCAGTTCTGATAGCTAAAACAGGTTAATCAGGGTAGACTTCCCAGAGGAGGCGGAAGGGACAAAAAGAAAAGGTTTACACCGGGGGCTGAGGCTGGGCCAAACCCCAGGCTCTGTGTATTGCTGGAGACATGGGCAAGCCGCTGCTAGACTCAGCTCCCACCCCAGGGGTGTAGGGGCTTAGGTCCTGGAGGTGCCGGGCGGCAAAGGGGAGCCAGACAGCTTCTTAGAAAGTGGCAGGCAGGTGAGTGGGGCTCCCCAGTGATAATTAAGGAACAAAGGTGCCGAGGAGCTCGCAGCGCTGCGCAGCCTCTGGGGCAGGCTGGCTAATGGGAGCCTGGAGGAGGTAATAACAAGGGGAGGAGCAGGGCAGACAGACCGGCGTCATGACGCCCACAAGCCACCCCCTCGCCCTCCTGCACCAGGACAATAACTGCGGCAGCTCGCTACGGAAGCATGGCGTGGACCGTGCCCAGAGAGCTGTTCCCGGGCCTCAAGGAGGGGGCTGCAGGCGCAAGGCGGTGCAGGGAGAGAGGCTCTGGGTAACAGCTGAGCCTGCAGATGGTGGGATGGACCGGGATGAGGCCAGGGATGGAGGCTGAGAACTGGAGCAGATGGACATTCACCTGGGGTCCCAAAGGTGTACGCGCGCGCGCCTGAAAGGACGTGCCCAGTCTTTGGTTTGTTTCTTTTTTCCAGACAGGGTTTGTTCTCTCTGTAACAGCCCTGGCTGTCCTGGAACTCACTCCGTAGACCAGGCTGGCCTCGAATTCACGGAGATCCACCTGCCTCTGCCTCCCATGTGTTGGGATGCACCACCACCGCCCGGCAACGTGACCAGTCTTAAAGGTAGTGATGTTCTCTCAGTCCCAAGTCCTGTGGTCTGCTTCTGCTTGCACAGTGGTATGACCCCGGACAAAGTTCTTGGAAATTGGCTTTTAAAAAAAAAAAAAAGTATGTACATTGGTGTCTTGCCTACATGAATGTTTGTGTGAGGGTGTCAGATCTTGGAGTGACAGACAGTTGTAAGCTGTCATGTGGGTGCTGGGAATTGAACCCCGGTCCTTTGGGACAGCAGTCGGTGCTCTTAACCGCTGAGCCATCTCTCCAGCTTCTTTACAATGATATGTACCACTTGGGCTGGGATGTTGGTAGAGTGCTTGTGTGGCACACACTGCAGAGGTTGTGATTTCCAGTACCGCATAAACGAGACATGGTGGTGCATGCCTATAAGATCAGCACTTAAGGGTAGAAGCAGGAAGACCAGGAATTCAAGGTCACCCTCAACCACATAGTAAGTTTAAGGGGCTACAGCCTAGGTGAGACCCCGTTTCAAAAATGTTTGTAGCGTGCAATTCCATACAAAGAGAGAGCTCAATAGGCTGGTGTAGAAGAAAGGGGGCTGGGGGCTGGAGAGATACCTTATCGGTTAAAGGAACCAGCTGCTCTTCCAGAGGACCCGAGTTCAATTCCCAGCACCTACATGGCAGCTCACAACTGTCTGTTAACTCCAGGACCAAGGCATATGGTGCCCTCACACAGACATACATGCAGGCAAAACACCAATACACACAGGAAGGAAGGAAGGAAGGAAGGAAGGAAGGAAGGAAGGAAGGAAGGAAGGAAGGAAGGAGAGAAGGAAAGAAGGAAGGAAGGGTCTGGTTCATGGCATCTCCCTACACAGGTGTCCCTACACTGAGAATCAGAGCCCTACTCAGCCACATGCTTATCTATCCTTTCACTTACTGAGAAAATTCCTTCACGTAGCCTCTCTTATCATTGGACCCTCCCCAATCTCGATTTTCTACCTACACGCATTCACACACATACACACCTGTGGGCACACCCGGCATGGCCAACTCCCACAGGGTCCTGCATGACTCCATCCCATGCTTCTCAGCTACATCCTCACATAGAGGCCAGCGTCACCTCAAACATCATGTCATGGCAGTGTTCATGCCTGCTAACCACAGAGTCCCACAGGAGTTACGCGGTGGAGAGCAGTGACACTCACGGGCACCTGAGTGTGCACACACACCCATATGCACTCCCAAATGTGACTGAAACTTTGGAGATGGGGCAGAGAGATCGGATAGGTCAGCCCCTACTTCATATCTAGAAAACGTTTAGATCAGTTGTGACTTCTGTTTACCTCATCGCTGAAGGTTCCTGTCGTTATCCACAGCACACATGTGTGCACGTGCAAACAGTACCATCTTGCATTTGGGGCGCACTGTGGTTAGTCTCCCCTGTCCTCACACCTTTACCCCAATCTGGTCCAGCTCAGTGCTGTCAAGGTCACCTTCTAAAACTCATCTCTGCTGCTCAGGCACCCTACATGGCTCCCCACTGCTCTCTAAAATAGATCACAAGCATTTCTCCTCACTTTTTTGTTTCTCGAGATCTTTAGAGGGCGTCGATTTTTGTTATTTTGTTTTGTTTTGTTTTGATTCTCTACAAAGTCTCACTATGAAGCCCTGGTTAACCTAGAGCTCTTTGTAGTCTAGGTTGGCTTTACACTCACAGCAATTCTCCTGCTTCAGCCTCCCAACCCTGGGATTGTAGGTATGTAGACCATGCTCAGCTTTTTCTCCAGATCCTTACTGGCTTACTCAACTTTGCAGGATCCCTGTAACCTTATTATATAATATTAATGCTGGCCGGGCGGTGGTGGTGCATCCTTTAATCCCAGCACTCGGGAGGCAGAGGCAGGAGGATCTCTGTGAGTTTGAGGTCA